ATTTTTAATTATGCATGCATCATCCTTTAATTTTTATATCTATACTCTAGAAGAGAACTTTCTGTAAAAAGCAGCAGATGTGATATTTGGCATCATCACCAACCTCAGAAAATCCCTGAGCGCTGCACATCTTTATTTATCTGGAAAGTGCTGCTCCAAGGCTCTTGTGTGTGATTGACAAGGCTTGTATTCTTGTAATAATCTCGGGTGCCCAGTGGACTGGCCAGAAAAGAACCTGCCTATGGTCCCTGATAAGGCAGCATCCCAGGCTCTATGGCTGACTGGGTACCGGATGTTTAAGGAAACCTTTTAAAAAGGAAAGACTTTAGAGGGTGTTCACAGCACAAAGCTCCTATTGCACTTTAATAAAATAGGGGGGGAAAAATAAAGTGTTTGGAAGGCACGCTTCTTTTATTGTGCACAAGCGTTTTGTTCAGGCGTGAAAGAGCATCTTATGTGGGACATAATGATGACACAAACAGCACCAACCTGTCCCTTTAAAATTGTGTGTGGGGTAGGCTTTGTTATAAAACGTGTTGAAATCGGTGTTTGAGGGCTAAAATAAAATAAAACAAAATAATAATAATTAAAATACTTGTCATTGGATCTTATATACCTTCTAAAATATGATGGTGGCATCAGCAAGCTTCGAATTTAACAGGGCTCATCCCTTTCGTTCGTGTCGGATGTCTTTTTCAATTACAAGATGTATTATTACCCGATTAGCTAATTTTATTATTGAGGAAGTGTTAATTGCTGCTTTTTGAAGTGAAAGGACATGCAGTCCTTCTTACAAATGAAGTCAGCCTCTGCCCTGTATAATTTTATTTATTATGCACCTTGATCTTTCATACATCTGTATTGACTTCTAGGATACATAGAAGGCTCAGTTCACAAAGCTAACACACCAGGATAGATATACTTATTTATAAAAAGAGTGATGGTTATTTACAGATAATTCCAATGCAATTTAAAAAAAAACAGTGGTCGGAAAAAAAGTGTATCAAACTTTGCGAATTGAGCCTATGTGTACTTCAAAATACATGAATATCTATAATTTGTATCAGCTACTTGTTTGAGAACATGCGGCTGCTACACTTAAAATTTATTAGAAAAATATCAACAACTTGAATGCATTATTAACATGATTATTGATTTCTGTAACGCCAACATTGTCCGCGGTGCTGCGCACGGGACACGAATCATATAAACACACCAGTGCAGGAAAAAGGACAACTGGGAAATTAATTACTTTTTATTTGGAAAAAAAATGATTTTCTGAGTGACCTATTAAAAGGGCAATATGTGATAGTGACCGGAGAGGGGTCACAGCTCTGAAAGGTATGATGGGATGTGTTCTGTTGTTAGGGGTTATTGCACTGTGAATATCACTAATGCTCTTTGCATTGTATGATCCTGACTTGGAAAACAAAAAGTGGCATTACTTAAAATTAGGATCAGCCCAGCGGATTCACGGTGAGGGTTTATGGGATTAACCCCCAGCCCCCATCTCGGGGGGCACAGCTGCCATGGACTCGGGTGGGCCTCTCCTGGATGGCTGCAGGGAGTCCACTGTGACAAGTGTCAAGTCCAGGCAGCCTTTGGATTCGCTTGTCCCAACGATCTTCATTACATATACAGAGGCAGCAACCTGTCCCACCATTCTGGTTCACAGGGACAGACTGGAAGGGGTTCATGGTAGCACAGATGAGAAGTGCAATCCTCTTCCTGATACGATTTATTTATAGGTGTCAAATTAAATACAAGTCACAATGCAGATCATAGAGATACACTCAATAGAAAACCAATATATAAAGACGTCATATAGATACACTCAACAGCAAACCTCTATTCAATGAGGTCATAGAGATACACTCAACAGAAAAACTATAGAAAAACTATATTCAATGACGTCATAGAGATACATTCAACAGCAAACCTATATTCAATTAGGTTAGTTTCCTAAAGGGGAATTAAATAAATGCCATTTAATCCGTCCATGACAACCAGTCAGATTTGATTATTTCGTTCAAGCAAGGCATTACGTTGCTATGGGCAACAGTATCACTCGTGCCCCTGTTCATAATTAAAGTGCAGGGTCAGATTAAATCGTGCACGGTGCTATAATAAGTTAGGATTAAAAGGAGCTCTTTATTCTGATCAGATCAAAAACACCTTGCATCAAATTTGTACTATAGGTCAGTTTAATTCTTAAAATTAGGTAGTTTGAGTTGATGTTAAAAAGGAAATGAAAGTTCGAAGTTATAGAGAAAGGAAACAGGAATATATATAAAATCAAAGTGAGAAGTAAATTGTAGTTGTTCCCCATGCAGCAAAGGTTGGGGGATGATGCTCGCGCTCTGAGCCCCTCTGCAGGCTGCCTAGCAGGTAGGTGGGGGAAGGGTCAGAGCTGGAGGGGGGTGTTGGGGGGGGAGTGAATAGCACCATGTGATTGACAGTTATGGCCTCCCCCAAACTTTCCTTTCACAGGCAAAGGGCTTAATGTTACCATGGCAAAACCAATTCTCCCGCCAGCCCATCCCCCCACCTGCAGCCAGCTGGAAAAAAAAATCGTAACTGGCAAAGAGAAGGGAGGAGGAGGAGGGCTGCAACATCCCACAAATTATAGGGAAATTCAAACTTTACAAATGAATCGGGGGAAAAGGACACAGCTGAGGTTCCCATAAAATGGATAATTGCATGGCCAGTAAACACTTCTCAACTGGCTTTAACTTTGTACCATTGCACAAATGACTAGCAAGAATCCCAAACTTACTGGCCAGCATCTGATCACAGAACTGGGGATTTCTAGAGCCCACACTCCTCTCTGCCAGGCCCATGTGTGAACATTGTCCCCATTAGTAACCAGGCCCCCTTTATCTGCATTTACGAACACAATTGGTTGTTGTGGTCAACAAATCCGGTTTGCTCCGGCCATCGTATACTATAGTAAACGAAACTTTCATATTAACTTTCAGCTTTATTACGTAATGAAGAGACTACAAAAGGTTCCAATTGTTTCAGGCATAACTTTACAGGAAGCCACCATACAGGGCCCCTTTAATTCTTGGTTGCAAATGAAGCTCAAAGCAAATCGTATCCTATTTTTTTGTATTAAACTCCAAATTCCATAGGCGTCTTTGAAGGCTTTTGCTTAATAGCAGAGAAACTTTCAGTCATAGTTCATGCAGTTGCTCATAGCAACCTGTTTTCTATTTCATCTGAATAATGCAATCGAATTGGTTGATTTCTCAAGGAGTATGACTGCTCTTTCACTTTTATGAATCGAATTCTTTGATAAGGAGCTATAAATATAAATAGATATACTCAGAATTTGGGTGGACTTATGCATGGAGTCTGGGTAACAGATAGATAGATATCACTTATTTTATATGTTGTCTGGTATAAAGTTTTACCAATCAGTATTAAATATTACCAGGTGGACTGTTCTCAAACACCCTATCTTCATGATCTGGTTGTATAGGATGTGTATGATTAGATAGATAAACTAAAAAATCCTATGCACAGATCATGAAGATAGTGTTTGAGAACAGTCTACCTGGTAATAGTTAATACTGATTGGTAAAACTTTCAATCAGACAACACATAAAATAAGTGATACGCAGAATCTGCTACTAAAAATGTATATATTTGCTTTTTATATCATCATTCAGGTTACTAGTTTTCTGATGTGGGATCACCAGAATGTTAGTTTGGAAGGACCCCCCCCCTACCACACACACAGTAGGACTTTAAGTTTAATATTTTGCTTTTCATAATCTTGTAAATATTTGCTCAATTACCTTCAATATTACAATTCATTTTTCACTACAGGAGTATGTGTAAATTCTGGAATCTGGGCGTAGTAGTAATTTCCATGTGAGTTCAGTGCACTGCATGCATAGTGGATTAACAAGCACAAACTGGATCCACCTGTGGAAGGAGCAAGGCTTCCTAACCGACTACCCCTATCATCTCTGCTCACTTTATTGAAGGGTTTGTAGAAGTGTAGTGCTGATGATCCATACAGCCATGATGTGGGTCTTTTCACTGCTATCTCCATAACTTTACGTTGAAACAATAAACAAAAGTCCATTAACAATGACACTCCTTTTTTTTTTTTCCTCCCTACAATTTGCTAAAAGGCTCCTTTTCAACATGTACACAGGGATCCTCTGTTTATCTGAGCAAGTCACCAGCAGTGCAAGACACCTTGCAGATTAAACAAACCAACACAGACACTGTCCCCTTTAATGGTTTTAGTGGCAAACCGTAGAGAGCAAGTGTAAAAAATCGCAGATAAAGCAGGTGGATTGAGCAGAGCCCCCCATCTGTTCCTAAAATCTGTTTACTCTGACAGAGCAAGGCTTGCTGGATCCTCTGCAGTGACAACAGGACTCAATCTCCTGATGGTGGCTGAAGGTGGACCTGCTATGATGAATGTAGCTAATGAAGATCTGAGTTTTATTATAGATACTTTGGTAACATTGTGTTTTATGATGGCAGAAAAGTATGCCAGGATGTGTCGTGATAAATGTTATAAACAATATAACAAAAGTATATAAAAGTATACCAGGATGTGTCATTATTCATTTTTTAAACAATATAACAAAAGTATGCCAGGATGTGTTGTGATAGTTTGGCATTTTATAGACAATATAACCAACTTTAAAGCTGCATTCACACATCTTGTTTACAAAATAAAGAGTATTGGAAAGTTAAGAGTGCCACCTACAAATATAAACTGAGCTTTTTTAAAATAATAATACTTGCTTTATTTTGATAAGTGTGACAGCAATCATTTCATTTGGATCGCAATCATACTGGTATTAACCTTTTCTCGGGTAGGGATGAGGGAACTTAATTTGGATGATGTGGGGGTGGCAAGGGTTAAAGTGTTGGTGAAATGTGAGTGGTGGGGGCAGGGCTGGGAGGCCGGCCTGTGATTGGCTGCTAGAATGTGATTAATATGCAGTCACTCAGAAACTCCGCCAAAGGCACTTCTTAACAGGAGAGAACTGGAGAAGTTTGTGTGCAGTGGCGAGACCGTCCCATCCCGAGACAGAGCTGCGTCCCTCTTGTTTCTTACTGAACTGGATTCCCGCAATCCCCCGCACTTCCAGCTACCAATGTATAGCATGCTGGACACTGATATCAAGAGCCCGGTGCAGCAAGGCAATGCGCAGACCGGGGGAGCCGGCGCTCCGGGGGGCAAAGGCAACGCCGCCAGCCAGGACCAGGACCGGGTGAAGCGACCCATGAACGCCTTCATGGTATGGTCCAGGGGGCAGAGGCGGAAGATGGCCCAGGAGAACCCCAAAATGCACAACTCTGAGATCAGCAAGAGGCTGGGGGCCGATTGGAAGCTTCTGAGCGACACCGAGAAAAGACCTTTCATAGATGAGGCCAAGAGGCTCAGAGCTGTCCATATGAAGGACTACCCGGATTACAAGTACAGACCAAGGAGGAAGACCAAGACCCTCCTGAAGAAGGACAAGTACTCTTTGCCTGGCAACCTTCTGGCACCAGGTGTGAGCCCAGTCTCCAGCTCGGTTGGAGTGGGTCAGAGGATAGACACTTATGCCCACATGAATGGCTGGACTAATGGGGCTTACTCTCTGATGCAGGACCAGCTTGGCTACTCGCAACATCCAGGGATGAACAGCCCCCAGCTCCAACAGATGCACAGGTACGACATGAGCAGCCTGCAATACAACCCAATGATGTCCTCAGCTCAGACCTATATGAATGCAGCTTCTACCTACAGCATGTCACCAGCCTACAACCAGCAAACCTCCACCGTCATGAGCCTGGGCTCCATGGGCTCAGTGGTTAAATCAGAGCCCAGTTCCCCTCCACCTGCCATCACCTCTCACACTCAGAGAGCCTGCTTAGGAGATCTGAGAGATATGATCAGCATGTACCTGCCACCAGGTGGGGATGGCAGCGATCCATCCTCCCTCCAGAACAGCAGATTACACAGTGTCCACCAACACTACCAAAGTGCAGGGACTGGGGTCAATGGCACTGTACCACTAACGCACATTTAAAAGACACTTCTCCACTTTAAATCGGACGCTTTTGCTTGCGTGACAAGCATATCAGAATGCAGAAAACTTGAGGACAAGGAATCAAAAGGGTGTGTTTTTTTTTTTTGTACAAAGTTTGCGCAAACTTTTAGAGCACAGAATGTTTTTTTTTTGTTTGTCGGGGACTTCAGTTTTTAGAAGTAACTTCGGGACAGTTAACCATAATCCAATGTTTACATGTTTTATTGATCCGCTCAAGACTTTTTTCTTGAGTTTTATCCAAAACTGTAGCTTTTACCATTTAACTTTTAGCATTTTTTTTGAACTTTACAAAAAAAGAGATGTGCGGGTCGCAAACGCAAGACTTTTCTTTTTCTTTTAATTTATAGCAAGTTGTATTTTTTTTCTTCACCTGTAAAGTTCTGTAAAAACGTTTTTATTTTTAGTTTGTCTTGTTTTCATGAAATGTTACTGTGAATTTTAACATATCACCAAAAAAGAAATATTTTTTTTTTTTTAATTTGGTTTTTACAAACTTGAGCTGAAAGTCAACCACAAAACCAATAAATTTTCTAAGAGGAATAGAAGTGTCCTTTATATTTTTTTTCTTGTTTTTCGTGCATGCTTTTGTACTGTGTGTGAAGCAGAACTGATTATGTCTGACCTATTTTCATCTATGTGGTTATATATTTTCTGACAGCGCTAATTTTTGTATCGGTTTAAAGCGGGGCCAGCAAGACCTATAGGGCGTGTTTATTTCTAATTGCATTAGAATGCAATTGGGGAAATTACTGACATTTTAAGGGTGTGAATGTGTAGAAAAATGACTAAGTTTATACACTAGCCTCAGTTCGCAAAGCTTTAACGCAAGGGTAAAGCTCTTCATTTAGCTATGTGACCTATAATTTTCAAACCTCATTACATTCAGCTTATTACTGCCTATATTTATATACATTTTTTTTTCTTTTTTTAGTGTTGGCTTTGTGAATTCAGTTTTTTTTTTTAAAGGTTCTTTTCATGAATGACTGCAGGGCTTTTTTTTTTTTTCTTTATATAACTAATCCATTCGTTTTACTATTGGCTTGCATGCAGCTAATTTAATTTTTTATCTCCTATTCCTATGAAGTAAGTTGCCTCATTGCTAAAGGCAAGAAAAGTAAACGACCTGAACTATTTCCTGTTGTCCCAATAAGAATGTAATTTTATCTTCTGTCCGTCCCCCAGGCTAAACGGTGCTAACTAGCCACAACTCTTAAGATTTGATCTGTCAGATTACACATTTCACCATGTAGTGTAATGTATTTTCCAAAGCAATCAAATTCTCACTGAATGGGTAGAGCCTTGCTACAGCTTTGGTAAATCTCTGACAGATCAGATCTTCTAAAATGTCTGGCCAACACTCCATACTTTTGTAAAAAAAAAAAGAATCTAAGCCTACAGCAGCTTATTGCATCCAGATAGGTCAGTGTATGGTGGAAGTGTGTTTAATCGGTAAGGTCTATGCTTGATGATGATCAAACCCTATCAATTCTATATTTATATAATTTGCTGCTGCCAGATTCGTACTGGGAAATGACTTAAAAGTAAGGGGTGTTGGGGTTTGTATTTTTTATCAAGCTAGAAGCACAGTGCTTCGGAATGAACTAATTTTGCACACTGACAATTAGTGAACAGCAATATTAAGTACTTGTATGTGGCTAGGTATGGCGATGCACCATTATCCTTTGCTGCAAAAAGTTTGTGACCTGTTGCATTTGTTTTTGATGCATCACAAAGCCCATTAATTTTCAATAGGTTGCCTTTTAATACTGCACACATAAATGTGCCCTAAAGCTTTTTCTATATTCACCTATCAGACCATGTTATTTGGTGTTTTTAGTACTATTTATTTATTTATTTTTTATTTATTTTTTTTTTAAATCCTTTTAGGTATTGACCTACAGGGTTATTCCCAAAAGGGTGAAGAGTTTGGAGAAGGCAGAAAAAGAACAATCTAGGACAACATAGCTGATTTGGACAAATTCTCCAATTAAGCTCAGCTATAGTGTCCTACATTGTTCACTTCTCAACTCTTCACTCTTTAGTGAATCACCCTGCTAATATTTCAAACTGCTATCATAGGGTATCTCTTTGAAGGTAAAGATCTGCTATAAAAGCGGGTATGTATGCCATGGCAACCTGTGAGGTTGTGTTCTATCTAAATCTGGTTGCCATGTGTTAGTGATTTTTGTAGCCAAAATAGTTAAGTGAACTCAAAGTTCAAGTTTCCTGGCTGCCATCTGTAATGCTGTCCAAACTTATCAATATTCTGATCAGATGTAGCATTTATTGATTTGTTATCTTCATCTTGATCCCTTCAAACTGTTTTTTCTTAATGAAAGTGATCAGATGCGTGTATGTAATGTTATTGATATATATATATATTTTTTTTTTCCAATCTATCTCTATCACACTCATTGGAAGTGAGGTGTATTTGATGCCAGAGCATTTACCACTTGTGCATCAAATTATTATTTAATTGATTAGTTGTTCCATCTGATTAACATCCAATCTCATGAAAATCTGGTGAGATCATTTGATCTCATTGGGAAGGTAGGAGACAATTTGTTCAAGTGTGGCCAGCATTTATGGGTAACTGTCATGCCTTTTTAATTACAGAAGTCCTTCCAAAATATTTGGGAAAGTAATTTTCAGATTAATACATTTTGAATGTATCTGAGGACAGCAAAGGCCCATGAGAGGATAACCTTTTGAATGTTTCTCTGTGTCCTTTTGACTGCATTATACACTGGTGTGCACACATTTTTGAATTCAAGCCTCATAATGAAGTAACTCGGCTTTGGGGCCGATTCTTTAAAAAATTGGAGAAATGAGAACAAAAATGAAGTTACCAATAGTGATATAGTTAACAAAAATTCAGATTGGCTTATATGGCCCAACATTCTACTTTTATTTTTGTTTGTTTGAACTTGACTAACTTGTTGCAATAACAACAATTGGCTGTTGTGAACTAAAGCACAGAATTACACTTGCTAATCTACGTCTGCTTAGAATAGACCTGAAAATGAAAGGTGAAATGTGGTTGGCAGATTTTATTGCCAGTAAATGCTCTTCACTTTGTTCTAATACATACTTGATTAAAGGTTTAAATCTAGTGTATCTATAAGAGAAATTGCTCATGTATGAAGCCTAGGTCCCAGTGCTATAGCCAAGACCAAAGAAACCATCCTTAGTTTTTTGCATTTATGCAGCTTGTGCTGAGAAATTTGGCAGTGGAAAATGTGCAGTTTTGGTAACTTGATTCTCAAACACCTTTCTAAAAGGTGCATATTGGTGCTGAAAAGGGTCTTGTGTTTGGAGATTTGTTATTTAAGTTCACTGCATCCAGCAACATTAATCTGGGCACTTGGTACAACATGATCTTTCATCAAAATAAGTACAGTTAAGCGTAGGTAGCGTTTTTTCTGCATAACACGGTTTCTTTATCATGCATTAGAATACAATTTCCAGTTTGTTATTCCAGCAGATGACCCTGTTTTGTCTGAGACTTACAATATGCTGTCTGATGCCACTGTAATATGAATAGTATAAGTGCTATTTTTGTAGCAATTTACCTGTTTGGAAAGCACAAGCAATAGTATTGGGAGAACGTAGGAGACCAAACTTATAAGAAGGGATCCATCAGAATGAAAGTTTTATACAACTTTTCCATTCATTCAGATTGGAAAATGGAGAGAGATGAATAATGATAACCTGTCACTCTGCGTTAATGTCTCAGAGTCTTTAATGGGGACAATGTCCAACATGCCCCGAAAGGCAGATGTGCCTTGCAGGTGATGAAATCCCTACAGAAATACAAGCATTATAAGATCTCTACAGAAAAGAGATGCAAGGGTGCTGTCATTGCCCAGCTGCTACTGTAAATGCTTGTTTCTAAACTTTTCCTGTCTTCAGTATGAGTTCCCTTCTGGAGAAAGCATGCACAAGCAGAGTCAGAACTTCTCATCTGCATATTTGCGCAGGGACTTAAGGTACTGAATTCAATAGATGAGTATAACAATTTGAGAATTTTGACATTTTAAGAATAAGAGGTTAACAGTGGCAGGTCACTTATCCTTTCAACACAAGGGGTAAGGAACTCAACAGCTTTAAAAGAGAAAATGTCAGAGCTGTCTGCTTTATGGTGTCCACAAAAGTAATTTGCTACATCATCCAGCTACCTTTTTTTTCTGATCTGAAGATGGTTGCATGTCTGTGGGCACTATGTGACAGATCTCAATGGAATATATGATTTCCTGGCTTAGAAGGTGAGGCGGATGCATGGGATATCTTCATGAGCATGCCTGGCAGATACCAACAACCAGATTTGGGTCCATGGGCATTTTCAGATTACACCTTGAACCCCTTATATATGGATAGAGTTTATTGTATGGCATGAGCGATAACATACCTATGTATGGAGAACAAACATATTGCTGGAGTACAGCAGACATACATTGCTAATGATCAACGGTATTTAACACAGGTATTTATACAGCGCCGACAAATTATGCTACCGCTTTACATAATGCATATTCACATCGTTCCCTGCCCTCAAGAAGCATACGATCTAAGGTTCCTACCTCACATTCACATATAATACAGTACCATTTAACCTTTCAGCATGCCTTTGGAGTGTGGAAGTAACCAGAGTACCCAGAGAAAACCCATGCAAGCACAGGGAGAACATGTAAACTCCTTGCAGATAATGTCCTGACTGGGCTTTGAACCGAAGACAGAAGTGCTAACCACTACGCCACTGTCCTGGCAAATTACTTCAGGTGTTTAAATTAGTCTACTATTTAAATCTTCTCCGTAGAGATGAATATAGATAAACCACAAGTGACCATTATTGCCTAATAAGCAGTAGTGGAAATATCATCTTATGTGCATCAATCAGGTGAAAGGTTTGTCCAAGTCTGATTATCACGGATCAAGACTGCTTGTTGCTGAACAACCAGATTCACCTGTACATGGCCAGCCTGGGTCTAACCTGGAGAACTACCCCTGATAATCTGAGCTAGAGTTTTCCTGGATGAAGCATAAAAATAAGACTACTCTTGCTAATCACCTTTGGAAATAATATAGCCCCCTATGCAAGTAAGAATATACATTTTAT